AAATGATTTCCAGAAACTTTTTGTTTGTGTCTCGTCGTGTGCCATCACTATAAGGGATTAGAGTATACTAAACTTTACACGTTACATAGGCTACACTAAACGTAACGTTTAGGCGGTTCGTTTAACTATTGTTGCGTGACTACTGTGACGCAACGTTTCTAGAACTATCATGTACTTTGGCGAATGCTCTAGTAATTACTAGATATAGGGTAGGCTGGTATATAAAAGAGGGGAAGGTAATGTGTGTATGGACAATGAGTAATTGAACTGCAGTCAGAGAGTGTGTAATTGAACTGAGTATTGTTGAAGTCGAGCACGTGAATTATAGCGTTTGTTATAGAGCGACTGTTGAAATTAAGTGTAAGGTAAAGTTATATTCAGAAAGAATAAACCAGTTTTATTTAAGAAAGGACTTGTGTCGCTAAAGTTTCGTCGGAACGAATTTACGGAAAATTAATTAACGAACGGAGACGTAACACTATTATACGTGATGTACGTTTTTTTTTGGGGGGGGGGGGTATTGAAGTGTTTCAAAACGCGACATTACCAAGTAGCAAAATAAACACTTTTTTTCACATTACTGATCTTGGCTCATTCAATTTCGAAGTAATTAAACAATTACTACAGCCTACATAAGTTTGTTATTGTACTATATAAAAACGATAGACAAGTTGATTTATTGAACTTAGAAGTAAATATAGAGAACTTTGTTACACACTACACAAGTTTAATGTACTACATATAAAGGAAAGTTAGAAGTTGGTTCATTCAACAAAGGAATCTTCTTATTGGATAAAGAAATTTAGAACTTTAAATCACATACAATAAAAGGAGTTATAAACTGACTTTATGAATATAAGTTGAATGGTGATGAGATTAGTAATTATGATAATAAAAATACATAAAAAGCTTATTCATAATTAGTTAAATGAAGCAGAAAGCATTAAAAAATTAAACAATACGGAAATAATCGATCAGCTGAATTAAGCGGACATTACCAGTTAAATGACATGAAAGTTAAACAATGCAATAGTACAAGATGTTTGAACCACAAACGATCTATAACAAGAATAAAGTATGCTTCCCTAAATACTGAATAACGAAGACAAGAAAGACAGGATTCATGTATAGCCGTTCCTAAATGTGAGCTCCTGAACCAGCAGCACCCATCGTCATAAGAGCCTTGTCAGTTTATTTGCGCGGAATAACGGCACTGACTGTCACTTTTATAACACGCCCTAGATAAATAATAAGCCACTCCCTACTCCTAATAAATAATAGTCTACCTCATATTGGTTAAGCTTTTCTTTTCTAATTCATTTTTTACAATTACCTAATATTATCTCTCATTGACAAACATCA